CAAGTTTGGCATTCTTAAGAGCTATCACTGACTTAATTTGTGGGGTGATGAATATTGTGTCTCTAGTTGCTAGGCTTTCAGGAATGCCCAGAAACAAGGCATAGTTGATTGGCAAGTTTGGCTTCTCTTGGAAAGATTTTGATGGAAGATCCAATGGGGCAGGCCACCATCAAAAACAAGGCCTTTTCTGTGCAGTGCTTAGTTGATCTTGTTGGCAGTATTGTGTGTTAGAAGAGGCATCAGAAGCAGACTGGCTCAGTGAAATGAATTGCCACAGAGACAGACAGCCCACTGAGAAAGAAACTGGCACAGACATAAAGGCATTCAGAGTCTTGTCTTCTGTTATTCTTAAAACCAGTAAATATTTAAGCGAGCATCTATAAATGACAGCTTAGCATCTACTATGTACTCATTGCCAAATAAGCTAATGCTACACCACCAATCAGAATGTAAGATAAGATTGATCCAAAAATCCTTTTTAGAAATCAACCTGAAGCCTATATTCGAAGTACTGAGAGTTGTTATGAATGCTTAGTTAGGTAGCAGAATGAAAACAGAAGTATAATACTTCATTATCACAAAAGGAAGCAAAGTTAACAGTTCTTGCTAGCTATTTTCAAGAAAATAAGAACTGGGAAGAGAATGAAAACCAAAGCAATATTCCTGCAGCTTTGTCATAAATTTATTGGCTGCCTAATTATGTCAAACTCAGAGAGTCCACAGACTGTTCACCCCCACCATTGTTCTCTATTGTGTTTTCTTTTCTGTAACAACCTCAGAAGTAGCAGAAAAACCAGAAAGTATACAAAATTTCAAAATAACATGATGTGCTTCAAGGCTATTTGATTTGATTTGCCTTACCAAAGTGAGTTTATGTTTCAGTTTGTGAATCTGTTTTGATCAAAGTTTCTTTCAATAGAAACATTTTTTCAAAGTTTTTCACAAACCCAGTGATCACTGTTCCTAAAACCTTCTTTGCTCCCTCTAGATGGCTTAGTCCAATTCCTTCTAGTTATTTTCTTAAATCAAGGATGAACAATCTGAAGACCCACTACCGCATGTGACCCTACCCAGGAAACCTTCACCTACAACTGGAGAAGTTCTGCAATTGGTTTAATCAAATTTGATTTGAAAATCATCAGAAGTTTTTCATGGAGTTAAGTTCTAACTATACATAGTTTAAAACATAACCATCAAAGGGTTAAAAAGAAAATAAAAGTGAAGGAAATTCAACCTTCTTATAAATCAAATTATAATTTTATATCAACCAATCTAAATTATTTGTTTGTTTGTTTATCTGGTTTCCATAGACCTGACAAAATGCCATAAAGTTGATTTTCTTAACACCCTAGCAGTGTAAAATAGTTTTTCCACTCCCTGCCCCCCACCTCCCCGTTATTTAAGAGATCCCAAAGTTTATAGTTTTTACAGATCTGCTACTTTGGATTCAGAAATTCAGCTAGCAGGAGTCCGTAACTTGCTAAATATTTCATGTTGTTCTCTATTAATTCTGATAATTAAAGAGGAAAATCTGGAAGGTCCATTTTTAAACACAAAGCACTGCTTATCCACCACTTACCACCCTCTCCTTTCTTCTAAAACAGAAATGAATAGCTATAGACTGCAAGCTTCTTATCATCATTCAAGATCTCACTTTTGGAATCTACGAGTCCTCAGAATTACCTCAGAATAGGAAGAGGTTTGGAGCACCTTTGCATTTTAGTCAATGAGTTTAATAGGAAAAATAAATTGTTTAAGTACCCACTGAATTTATTAAAACTCTGGACCTCCATATTCCCAAATTTGGGGACAATTTTCTATCAAAAAGAAACTCTTAAATGCAGGTGGGATGTGTCCTACTGATCATTTTCACTCTTACTGATCTTTGTATGTTGAAAATATAATAAATTAATTGGTGTCATCCCCACAGTTGACCATAAAGGTTTTTTTTTAAAGAGAGAAGCCATGTAATCAGTACACCATCCAACCTGGTGCTGGTCCAAGAGCCTTCATCTCTCACATAAAGCTAGGGCCTCCTCCATATTTGTAGATGTTCATATGCAACTCATATGCATTTACATAAAGCAAAATAAATTCAAGTACGTATAATAGGTTGTTATTTTTTTACTAAAATTCTACTGAGAGTTCTGAAGGTGTCACAATAGCATTAATTTTGTATCCAGGCACTTTTCCTAAAACCTCCAATCGTGGTTGTAGACTGCTGCAACAGTTGAGATAAGGAAGAAAAAGTGAGCATTTCAAAATAAAATTCCAGTAGCGTCACCAACCAATATGACTTTATTGTGCTTTTCTGTAACAATAAGACCAAAGACAAATTAACAGCCTTTCATCTGCTAGATACCGAGGAAGTAGCTAAACCTCATGATCCTCTAGATATGCCTAAGGAGATGTTTCTCTTTGGTGTAACTGTATAATAGATAATAGCAGCATTGTACTGCTGTAGGGAAGACTCAGTTCATTCAGCTGAAGATGATTGAATATTAAAAAAAATCTTCAAGTGATTGATGGGAAGGATAAGTTTTATGACCAGGAAGGTTGATCTATCATCACTGAGAACTTTTATTCCAAAGCTTTCCTAAATAATATAAAAGCACATTGCTGAGGGATAGTAAGTCTCTGATTTAGTGTTTTAAGGCAATTAATCATCAAAAGATAAAGGTATTAGCATTAGTCCATTAAGCGAGGACCACTTGTGTTTGGTTTGCCAGTCACATGGCCACCGAGCCACACCCACAAATTAAGCCATGCCCACAGAACCAGTTGTTAAAAACTTTGAATCCCACCCTTTCATATATACACACAGAGACAAAATATAGAATATAGAATATCAGAGTTGGAAGAGTCCTTGAAGGTCTTCTAGACCAACCCATTGCCCAAGCAGAACATTCTATGCCCACATATACACAAACATAATAGTGAAGTTCAAACAATCTCTTACAATAGGGCTCAGTAGAAAATCAGATTACTATTATTATAAATAGCCCTGATCAATCCCATGATTTCACAATACCTGCCAATCATTAATACATATAGAAATTTGTATTTGATTTCTTTTCTGTATTGTGTTTTACTTATTTGTATGATTGTTTGCTGACCATACTCAATGGTTTGAGACAGGTAGTTATACAGATTGAATGAATGAATGAATGAATGAATGAATGAATGAATGAATGATCCAATTTGCTGCTTCTAATCTATAAAGCAATACATGTTTAGTACCTACCCACTTTCAGAATGGCCTTCTCTACATAGAAATGGCCTACCCTATTCACCCATTGTACACATATTACCAGTATCTCCTAGTGGTTCTCAAGTGCAGTAATGGAGGTTTGCAGATGATAAGTTTATTATTATTACTTTCATTTTTAGTATCCATATTATGAAACAGCTTCCCTCTGGAAATTAGGCTGGCATCCTCATTGTTGACCTTCCAGAACTAATAAACAGAGACTTCTTCCAGGAAGCCTGTGAATGAATGGCAACTGCTCTACCTGTTGTATTATGTAAATTGTGCTTCTCTTGTCTTTTGGATTTTTTAAAAATATGTAAGTCACCAAGCATTGTTTTTTTAAGCCCATCAATATTTGCTAAACAAATATGCTAAACAAATACATATTCTCTTCTGAAGAAAATACACTGCCAGACAATTGGTGAGTCTAGATTAGGAGTTTCCACTTCAAGTCTTTTATACAACAATTATTGAGAATTGCTTCTTTTTATTCATTCATTCAGGCATGCATACATACATGCATTTCATTTTAGCACAACCTGACAACGGATCAACTCTGCTTTTTCTTACAGGTCTGTTCTGGAATAGGGTACTTGTAACTTAAAGTTATAGGATATCTGGGACTGTGTAGACTTTCATCTCAGAATCTCTTTCATCTCAGATATGAAGCCTACAAAATACTTGCTGGAAGTTTCCATACACAACAAGTTGACTGGCTTTTAATTAATGTAAGATTAATATGAAGAAACTTCTCTTTGTTCTGAAAGACTCATATATTCTGTTACTGCAAAAATAGAATACTGAACCAGTTGAAATAAGAGGGGAATTTTTTAAAAAGAACATAAATTAACCAGAGACAACCATATATATTAATCAGAATTTGGGCTTTGTTTATTTATTTAGTTATTCAATTTCCATACTGCCATCTCTACCATGTTCCTTAATTATATTGCTGAAAGAAATGCTTGTTTATTTTTTATTCATTTATTTTGCCACTTATCTCACTATCCAAAGTAATATTGTGAAATAGTCTACAGTGGGAAGAAACTAGAAAGACTGGAAGAAACTGGTAGGAAGACTTAGTATTTTTTCAAAAACTTTGTCTCTGTCAGCCTGTGATGTTTTTTCCTATTTGTCATAATCTCACATGAAATTGTCACAGGGAATGAGTTCAAGAGACAGATATACTTTATCCTATCAAGGAGATTTTATTTATTCTAGCTTCAGAGTCATCTAAAGGAACTCTCTGAGAGAAATACCCATTTCCAAGCATGCCATAGATTTCATCTGGTCCTCTTGGATATACAGGTCGCTCCTAGATTAAGAACTAGTTCCTTTCCTAAATCTGTCTTTAACTTAGATTAGTATGTGAGTCAGAATTCATGCTTACGGGCTGCTTATTACTAAAAATGACATACAGCATAGTCCTTTCTCCAAAAGACAAATTTCTGAAGCTACACAGTGTTTTCATGAACCACTGAAAACAGGCTGTATATTAAAGTGGCTTCATTGGTTCATAAAAACAGTGCATGGCTTCAGCAGTTCATCAGCTCAAGGAAGGACTGCACTCCCCACCAATGTTAGTAATAGTCAGCCTGTTTATAACTAAGGGTTAAGTTGGACATTCTTAACCCAGGGACTTTCTATGTATCAGAATTCTGAAAAATCATTATTTTGTGGATCATAGTTAGCCAGCGGTATTGATTTAGCAACATTTAATGAAAATTGAGAAGCAATTATTGTGACTCACATTCTCAATATCTTTTAGGACAAATTGGATGCTATCTTCAGAAGCATTTAAATAGCTCATCAAAATCTGTAAAAAATGAAACAATGGCTCACTTGCCGTTATTGTGATATTTTCTCTGATATCAGATCCCCATCCCCATCCCAATTTACAATGCTTTCTTCAAACTATTCATTTTTCATGTCACTGGAGATAATACTAATTTAGTTTATCAAAAACATCAATAGACAGAGTACTCTGTGGATTTTTATTATTGTCAAGAAATTAGTAAAAAATGACCCAACAACATAACATTCAACATTTTTAATATTTAGACAATGCTTTAAATTTATGAAATAAGAACTAAATGTTAGTTTTTACACTGTTGAATTTGGTCCTTTAAAAGATTTGTAAACAGATTAGATTTCCCAAACAGAATGCTTGTAAAGAAATAAATATGAGGGTTTTTTAATCTATTCCTTGGCATATTTTGCCTCTATATCAGAGATATATGTACACAAATATCATCATAATGTTAAATGCATTATGTTCATATGTGTGCTGAGATAGATGGGATAAAATTTAAAAACCTGTAACTAACACTAGTCAGTAAAAAAGGAAGGAACAGAAAAAAACCTAAGTGCAGTCCCTGAAGACCTTTGGTTAATATTACTTCATTGCAATTACCAATTGTCTAACTGGTTCCCATGCTGTCCTGGTAGATGGACATTGTTTATCTGGTTCTTTAATGATTAATGTGTATGCCAAGACTGGTTTCTTTGCCTGCATATTTACCGAATAGTTTATTATTTATTTATCAGATTAGTTTGCCATATCCTTAGATAAAGTTCACTGGACAGCAAGTATAAAAGCAATTTAAATAAAAGGATGTGGCATAATAACTTGCCCAATACCTATATTACAATTCAGTCAAATCTGTATAAGTCTGTATATCTTATTGTTACACTTTTTCTAAATCTTACCTTTCATTGATCTTACTTGTTTACTGATTATTGTTGATACTATATTATTGGTATTATTGTGTTTTGTGAACTAGCATACACTTGGTTTTAAAAATAGAATAATGGTATACAAACAGCTTAGTCAAACAGCTAGGACTATAGCATTCTAAAATGCTATAGCTATAATATGATTTATAAGCACAGCAAGGACAAAACTTAATTGTGGATAACAAAAGCAAATTGTGTATTCTTTTTTTAGCAATGCTGAAACACAAAGTAATATTTAGTTATGTATATTCATATTGAATAATATAGACTAAGAATGTAGTGCTTCCATCCAATATTACCAACTGTATCTTTTTGTTTAAAAATGGAAGACAATTATTATTTTCCTGATTGAGAATAAAATGGAATGCTAATAACTTTCTCTCTGTGTGAATGTGTGTGTAAATTGAAATAACTGTAGCAAGGAGGAAAAAAGAACTAGCAAAATTACCTATCTAAAAACTATTCAGTTATAAAAGCAAACAATTTTCAGATTGCCTTTGGATAGCCTGTTAGATTTTCCTTTTCTATACAGCAAAAATTTCCAGATAGGCCTAAATGACAATAAACTCAAAATCATTTCTCTGACCCCCAAATCTGATTTTCAATCTATATCTGCCATTTAAATAGGAAAATAGAAGGTTGGTGTAACGTAAGATAAACTGTGCTTCTCTGCAGATTCCTGAAATAGAAAGAAGCTAAGTCTTATTTTAGCCAAAGGCATAAGAAATAGATAAAAGAAAGATAAAAGCTTTCAGAAGGTGGACAGTAATGAATATAAGACAGAATAAATACAAAGAAAGGGGAATGCTAAAATAAGGAGTAACTTTTTAAGAAAAGACAAAGAGCATCTCAAAAAAATATTCCTCACTCTACTTTTCTTCAAAAAACGCAAAATCATATCATGCTCTTTCATTTTTACAGTAATAAAGCATTTAAAAAGAATTGCTCTATGCTCTCTGACTCTTACAGGGAATGTTTTACCTTTGACATAAAGTCCTACAGTAGTGAGTTGTTGTGCTTAATAAGATGCAGGGTCATTTCCTCTAGGCTATTTACTGGACCTCTCCAGCTTCAAAATGTGATTGTTGCCTCAGAAGTGCCTAAAGCTGATTATTAACCATGATTCATAAATACTTCAGAAGACGATCAAGTTAAGTTTATAAATTCTGGCTATGATAGAATAGTCTCCTCCTGAATTTGTAAATTCTGAGAACAGCTGGAAGCTTTCAGAAGAAAACACTTGGTTCGGTTTTTCTAATATTGTTTATTATTTTTGAGGATGAGTAACAGGAAAGTCAAGAAAACAAATATTCAGTAGAAATAGGTAGCGTTTAATATATGCAGGTAAAAGGTTTAGAGAATGACACATATGAAAATTCTAATTTCTCTTATGGGGCTCAGATATTTAAAGCAAGCTTTTTGAAGAACAGAAATGCAGTAACCAAAATATTAAAGAAACAGATACAGATGATGGGTGAGAGAATCATGTTCTTCACTGTACTAACATCTGATTTACTTTATGATAAGGGCACACTTAGATAGCTAATTCAACAAACTGTCCTCCAATGAGATGTACAAAGTATTCCAGGCAAATTTGTTTAATCCTGACAGCCAAACTCTAATTTATCTCAGTAAAATGGCCCCGTGAGCGGTGCAATCCTTGTAGCTTTAATATGGAAAAAATTAAGGAACACAATTGGTGGATTTCTTGACAGTGGAAAAATATTCTTCAATAACTCTTAACATGGGATACAGATAGAGGTGAGGGAAAGAGATGGATTTTGACAGATAGCTGGATTCATATGTTTACCCATTTGTCAAACCCTGATCCTAATTATCTGTTTCTTATTTTATTTACTGCATTTCCATTGTTCAAAAAGTTTACTTCAAATCTGAGCAAAATAATAGAAATCAGAATGTTTTTAAATTCTAGAAATATTTTAATGCCAGCTGAAATTGTAAACCTAGGAACATTATCATAGTGGAAGAAATAGAAAATAAACTAAACTAATAGCCACTGTTTATATTATCTCTTATTTTTCTCTCCCTTTCTCTTGGTAAGAGTGTTTCTATATATACATTAATTTTTGATTTCCTCTATCTTCATGGTGTTACTTAAAGATGGATACTTTCCCCAATATATGATAGGCCAGATGTAACTTCCATTACATTCTCAAAATATCATTGAGGCTTTAAAGCATGATCACAAGCCACTATCAATATTTGGAATTCTGGTTTGTGTTATTTTAATTCCCGTAGGCTAATATGTTCAATATATTTAGCCAGGAGGAATTAAAACTCAGAATCCCAGTATATTAGAAAAAGGATTTGGGAGATTTGTGAGTATGCTAAATATTCCATTATGTTGGAAGGTATCACTAAAAGCTGGGTTTCTTTAGCCCAGAAAGAAATATTTGGTATAAAGTTAGTGAATTCTTTAAAAATGGATTTCTATGATTAGGTAGTTAAATTATATTCTGCTTTTATTGATGGCACAGTTTAGATTCTTACAACTTCTGGACAAATGGAAGAGAATCAAAATTTACCTTTCTTTAATATTTTTTATAGCTTCAGAGAAATTATGCAGATTGATAATAGCTGATGAACTAAAGAGACTGTTTTCCACAAGTCACTGTGTCATGTCAAAAACAGCTGTGTTAGCTAGGAAAATTACATCGGTGCATTGAAGACAAAAAAAAAAGACCAATTCTTAGCCTATAAAATTTCTAAAGGATTAAAAACATGATCAGACAATGCCAAAAAAATTTATTGACCATAACAATTTCTTAATGTCAGATCTTAACTAGTTAAAATTTGACATAACTTTAGTTCTCATTTTCTACATAATTTTGATAGATTTGAACACATGCCACTTAGCATCTTGTATACTTGATAGATTTAGAATTAAGTGCTTTAATTGGACCATATCTATTAAAACATTTTGTTTGAAGTGAATGAAATGAATAAATCTTCCTCTATATGGAATGTCAAAGAGTAATTGATGTCACCATTGTTTAGTTGAATATGGATTTTTTGAAATAAGTTCATACACTAAGTTTAAATATATTTCCAATTTGCCTAGATGTGTAGATATTTTTATCTGGAACATACCGGGGCGGAGACTGAAGAAGAAATTATAAGAAACAGCTATTTATCCTTGGCTTACTTCACAATATCTACATTTTAACTAGCCATTACACTAATATTTGTCATTATGATATTAATATATCATTTATTATATTTTCAGACAAGTAAAAGTTGTTAGCGAACCATAAAGCCTACAAACTTGAAATTTGGCACATATGTTCCTCTTGGCTTCTAGGTGCTTGCTAAGGAAGGATTTTAGCCATCAGAGCATTAGTATTTCATATATTATTATTAAAACACTCTGATGCTAAGGAGTTCTACTCCCCCTCCCCGCCTGAAAAGAAATCTGTTCCAAATTGAAAACAAAATCAGAGGAGAGGAGTTTCAGTTTCAGTTTTAGTTTCACAGCAGCAACCAGATTTAGTACAGAACAGTTGAGTTAAGCCACGCCCAGGCTCCTTGTTGTCTCCTTCTTCCTCACACAGCAAATACTGTTTCAGTTTCCATGTTTCAGTTTCCAAACAGCCCTCAACTCTCTCACACACTGACAGGATGCTAGCCAGATGAATACCAATGGATGCTGATAGGCAGAGGCACAATTTTTTCCCCTTATTTTCATCCCCCAAAACTAAGCCCAATCACATAGTTTGTAGCAAAGCACAGGTGTAGAGATAGTACACAATATGACCAATGTAGAAAGTTCTTCTAAATATTAAGTATTCTGAATGCTAGTGAAACAATGAACTGGTTGGTTAAACTATTTTTAAAAATGAGTGAAACTCCCCCCCAAAGGTTGAAATCTGGTTAATCAGTCACTTCTTGCTATGCTTCCTATTCTTGAAATGGAATTGCTTAGTAAGTAGGAGAGGCCTGTGGACCACTGCTGTATCTAGGAAGGAAGATAATTTTTATGAGAGTTGATCTTCACAACAATAGATACAGCCAGCATTAGTCTTCTGAAAACAAAAAGATCCATCTGATATTTTTATCACC